CCGTTTCATTATAAACAGCAGAAAAGTGTAAAATTTTTCGTCGACGTTTTAACCCGCAATTCTGAATCGATTTTGAAAATTCAAAATTAGTTTTTGGTAGAGATCGGCCGGGCTGTTTTCTTGTAATAAAGTGTTTAAATTTTTTTGTCGACGATTTTTATTATTATTTTTTGACGGTAGATACCATAGTCTTATAGATCATACTAAAATATTACGTTACGTAATTAACTCGTTTAACTTTAAAAATTCGTCAAAGTTTGCAAAAATTGGTATTGTTTTTTTTTTGCATTTGTCAAAATTAGGATTTTCATAGACGTTTGCTCAAAAACGCCTGAACCAATTTCAAAAATTTAAAATCTATTTGATGTATCTCAACAAGGATTATCGTTTTTCAGTTTTGTGTGACGATCGGCCGAGCCATTTCATTGTAATTTGGAAAAAAGTGTTAAACTTTTCGTCCATTTAAGCTCATAATACTGAATCGATTTAACGTTTGTTAAAATATAAATTAGACGATTTACTTGGTATAAAGTACTTTGTTTTAATGAACATATTGAACCATTAAAGTCTGGTTCTGGTTCAATTATAAAAATTGTTGATTTTTGAAAATTTGCTTTTAGAAAATACTCCGAGTTAACGTGCCGAAGCATATATACATTCCCTTGTGTTTCGTTGGTTGGTAGCTAATAAGCTACTGATTACAGTTTACTTTCACACTTAAATAAAATACATTTTCAGAACACGAAATAGATGAAACGAAAAGTAATGTTTACGTAATGATTATTTTTTAATGAAGCTGTTGATTATATATCTATAAAATATAGTTAAACCCCAATTATTATTGATTAAGTTGATCACGTGTACGTATCGGGAAGTTTATGCAACTTACCTTAAGGCAAAATGCTACTTACAAATAGTTTTATTATTATTTTGTGATATTTTTTTATGTTCGTCACAAACTTAGTTTTTATGTCTATAAGTTACGTTTTCTAATTATATTTTTTACAGTTACACAAAAAGAAAAACTTGTGTATAATATTTTTATCAACGAAATATTACAAAATAAAATATAATAATCTGGAATTCTAAAATATAAATTAAATTATTTATTTATTGCTAAATATAAATAAAAAGAAATACATTGTGATTTTAATATAGTGCTATTACGTGTTGCAATATGTTGCTTGTAGCAGAAATATCTCGAGCCACATTTGTTATACGTAAGTGTAATTTTTTTAAATTCTTCATTAGATTTAAAAAATATAATAAACTGTTCAGCATTTCGTAATCCAAAAATGGTCTTGTGGGTTCTTTGGAGACTATGGACTTTGGAATCAGAGATTCCAAATTCGATAACCACCTCGGACAGCCAGATGTCAAGCAGCATTTTTATTGGTTTTCACTTGGATATATAGATTGCAATATGCTTCCGAGTAAAAGTAGCTCTAATCCGACATTGCTGCATCAATAAAATATCATCAGTATTAAATTGTAATAATAATAACTTTATTAAATATGCACAACCGTCTGGGTTGCCCTCTATAAAAAGACACGTTTAGAGTTTGTCGGTTTTCAAAAACCGGTTTTTTAGCGAAAATTATGGAAATCGAAAACCGGTTTTTAGTGAAAAAAGACGGTTTTCGCTGTATAAATGGAAAATGACAAATATAGCCAAATATAAAAGATCGATGAAAGCGTTTTGAGTCTTGAAATCATATCGGTTCAATAGCATTTGATATCTTATCAATCTGCAATGGTTCCCAGGAAGGTTTTGTATATATTAACTTAGATTTTTATACCAGTGTATATATTAATTTGAATCAGCATGACTTCTTCTTGAAGAAGTAATTTCCTCTATTCAAACTAAAAAAAAAGACTTTTAAACCCTAAAAGCCACAAAGCCACAAAGAACAAAAAACTTAGAATTATTATATCAGACTTTAAAAATAATTAAGCAAAATTTGGTCGCAAGTATGAGAGTAATTTCTATTTCAGGGAATTTTGTGAGTAAACAAAGGACACGTCTAAGTAGACGTTGTCAGTTTTTTAAAATCATATTTTATTGTATTATATGAACAAAAAAAGAATTAGAATGTTTAAAATTAATTAATTAAAATTGCTTGGAACAGACAATACCCGAGTTTAGCTTAATTGTTTTTAAATCTAAAATTGATATTAACAAGTATGTATCAACATATATCTAATATATTTTACTTCTTTTTAATTAAATGTTTTTTATTTAAAACGTATTATTTTTATTTATTCGAAAACTTTCCTTTCACTTTCATAAAAATATTTTCATTCTTATATGTGAAAATGATGCATGAATAACAAATAATTATTTCCATAGTTATTTAATCAAGATAAACCATTATTTTTTAGTTCGACTAATTAAAATTAAAATAATGTTTTTACTATCTATAAAATTGAACAATAAATAAATTCAGTCAAATATTGCTCTAAATTACACTAAATTTGCGGATAAATTACAGAATATTAGAGCAAAAAAATCGAAAGCCGGGTAATACCGTTTTTTTTTTAGTAAAATTAAAATTCGAAAACCCGTTTTCTGAAATGTCGGTTTTTGTATAAACCCTGCCTAGACACGTTGTATAAGAAGTCAGCACAACAGCTTTTAATTTCTGATTGCTGCTAAAGAAAACAAATAGATTTTTTTAAACTAATCAAATGCAAATTGCAATTACCTTTGTTTGTTTTTCATTATCTAATTCCGATAAATATTTAAATAATATTTATTGAGTTCTAAAAAATTTACAAGTTTGGTATTTTTTTTACAATTCTGGCTATGTTTCTTAAAATGCCTTTCACGTTATATTTGTAACGTTATCATTCCAAATATTTCAAATAACTCTAAAAAAGATACCAATGATATTTTTTCCACATAATTTTAATGAAATCTGAAGAATTTTTTCTTCTGATGACTGTATTAAATAGTAATCGAATGAATTTGATATGTGAAATATAATTTATTTGTTTTTATGAACGGAACGGTATTTATCTATAATGAGATCTTCATATTGCGTGTACAATTTTTTTCGGTATAGGGCAGACCGGGGTGCTTGGGTTGAATGTTGAACACCTAAGATTTTTTTTTCAACAGCAATCAAAATTATTTTTTGTGATCTATGAGCTTTTGAGATGTATTTCCTTATAAGGTACCATTTAGAAAGCAAACTAGTGATTTTCTTTTCTCTTGGAAGTAAAATTATTATTAGATATTTTCCGAAATGACATTTTCACTTGAGACAATATTTATATCAGTGTTTTAAAGTGAAAAGTGGTATTACTACTTACTCTACAAGCATTGCATATTTTCGGCAACGGGAACTATTGTCAGATTTCACGGATTATTTCTTATAGTTGCTCATAATTAAAGAATTGATTTCAGAATGATTGACACAGAAATTTAAAACAATTTATTTCAACATCATACAATTCGTGACGAAGGTGATGAAACCTTGGTATTGCTAACACAAAGTAGCAAAAACAAATCTCTGTTTCAGACAGCCTGATCTCGAGCAGTAGTGATATCGTATTTACTATTTTTACTAGGTGACCATATTTTTCTAAGTCAAAACCGGGCGGCAATTTTTAGTTATGCTAATCCGGGCCGGGGGGTATATAATAACTTGCTGACTTTTAGAAAGAACTTTAATATTCGAATATATGCAATACTTTTATATCATATATTGATCTATATGTTTTTCGCGCTTTTAAGTCTTGTATAATATTCTATTCAATTTTAATCATAAATAATTTGAAAAAATTAGCATGTGTTCGTTCGCTTTCATAATTTTTGCTAACTCACCTGTTAGTTTTTGAAAAACTGGGACAATCCGGGACAAAAGATCTAAATCCGGTACACACAATGCTTACAAAAAAACCCGGGACACAAGGTGGAAATCCGGAACTGTCTCGGTCAAACTAGGACGTATGGTTACCTTATATTTACAGGAAAATAGAGATCAAAATATGTTTACAAGTGAATATTTTACTTTTGGATATTTTTGAAAAAAAAATTAAGTAAAAAGCACTAATGTAATATGTTAAAACTAGAAAGAAACATTTGGCTGCCTTCTAGTAACCATCTGTTAAATACACAAAATAATTACTAAAAAAGATGTAACAACAATTAAAATTAATAAACAAAATGATTGACGAAGAGCTGCATTTACTTTTGGTGTAACTCAAATATTATTGATGTTAGTTGTGATTGTTGGTGTATAATCTTTGTGACTTCGTATTACGTGTAATTACTAGAGAGTTTTTGTAATAATACCTTTCTTTGTTGTTGGATTTATTTATAATACCTACTTATAAATTCATTTGATCTTGAACTGTACCTGGTGTAATGGCTAAGAACGTTGGCTAGCAATCCTTAATTCAATCACAACTTTGTTCAGCTCGATATCAGGTAGCATGATAACAAATTTCTACTTGAGGTTATAGATCTCAATTTTTTTTATTTGCTTTTAAGAATTACAGTCTGTCGTTATAATAAGGAAACAACATTCAATCATTTTGATGGTGAATTACTTTAGGAAAGAAGGTCGAAAGGTCACCCAGTGGTAATCCGTTTCGATGTTGATATAGATCTCAAGAAAAAACCAATTTCTGTGGGCATAAAAATCATGAAGCCAAAATTACTGCTAATAATAATACTGTCATATTATTTCACAACTAGGGGGTTGTCTTCCAAAAACAAGCCATATAAAAAGATGACAAAAATTAATACAATATAAATATGATTAAAAGATAATAAACATTCATAATCCTTAGGACATAACCGTCAATACCCATATCCTTAAATTGTGATAGTTTCCACACATTGTCATCCCTTACTGTTGTATTCATGCGTCATTTTTATATTTTTTCAACTTCATTTTCCATGTTTTTTGTCTCTACTCTAATCTAATCTTTTCTTCTTTGATATCTAATTAACAAAACTATCATTAACTATTATTTTTTTCTAATCATAGCTTCAGACAAGCCCGATTTGACTCTGGAATTAGAAGAATTGAATTCGTTGAACGTGCGTTCAAGGTTCCAGGTTTTCGAACAAGGATCACAGGAGAGCCAGGAATTAGAAAGGACTCCAAGTGTCGTCAACGTTAAACGAAGCCCCTCGATATTATCAAAACTTGTCAAGTTAGTATTCTACAGTTAAACTGGAAATAGAAATTTAAAAATAAAAACAAACTTTTAAAAATTAGTTCTAATGTTTTTAGTTTTTTAGCTTCCCCTAGGGCAAGTTATAGTAATCGCAAAAAAATCGAAAATGAAAACTTTTATATATCTTTACGTTTCAAAACTTTCTGAACATTTTGGCATACCTTAGAAAAAATGGATGTATGTGTGTGTGTGCGTGTATGTATGTGTGTGCGGATACAAATTTTCGTCGACGATTTCGGGAACACGGATCAAGCGATTTGAATAATTCAAAAAATATTCGATTCGTATTGATAAGGAGACGTGCTAATTAGTTTTTGGCAAAGGCAGGTCTAGCCGTTCCGAAGATATGGGACAAAAAGTGCCAAAAACGGTAACTCAGTGTTTAAAATGCCATTTGGCGGTCAAAAATGATTATTAGACATATGCACATCAAATTATCAGATATTTTATAGAGATTTTAACAATAAGTATAAATTTTGTTTACATTTGTACCAGTGTTTATCCGTTAGACGGCGACGCGGCGCTTACGCGCTTCGATATTTCGTCTCTATGCAGTTAAAGCAGCACGATTGCTTTGAAAAAAAGTTCAGAATTTTCAAAATATTTCATAATAAATTTTTCTTCAAAAAGTCTTTTTTTTTCCAAAAAAAAGTAAGTTTTTGTCAAAAATTTATAGTGTCTCAAAAATCTAATTTTCTCAGTAAATTTTTTTCAAAAATGTTAATCTTTTTAAAAAAAAAAAATTTTGGTACGGGAAGTTTGGTTCCAGCAATTTGCTTTAAGGCACGATGCCATGCACCCCACTAGTTTTTTTTTTCATTTATTCTATATCAGTTGACATAATATGCAAGCAGCACATGTCAATCTGCATCAAGTGGTAATGATGTAAATCTACATCAAATAGCCATTATGTTTTTTGCATGAAACGCGAATTATGTCAATTTAAACCATGCAACAACGATGTCAATATGATGATTCATGCATCATGTTTACAAAAAATGATGTAAAAGTTGCGAAAAGATATTTCACCTTAAAGAAATAATTTCAACTAATATTTTTTTGCTTTGAATGGAATCTTGCAATAATTTCACTTTCATGATGTCTTAGTTTTTTCAATTATTTCTATAGGTGAATTCAAAATATGAATTTCAATATTTTTTATAATATAATTATATGTAATAGTTTTTTGAATAAAATTATAAAGTAGATTTTAGCCTATATCATCCTACTATATTTCAAAGTACATTTATATTCAACTAAAATCTGGAATGTTTCCTAAAGATAGACTTCTTGAAGATCACAAGTCACTTGATTAATCAATATATAATAAGCGCTGAAATAAATAATTATTAGAATTTCATCATATTTTTCGAGTATCGTCTATACAAATAATTTAAATATTTTATATCCAGATTCCAGAGGAAGGGCATGGACGTGGGAATATCTGATGATGTCTTAAATGGTTCGGTTCCTTATGAAATATCTTCAGACGAAGACAAAAGTGACAGCGATGCTGATGGCGATGAAGATGGTAAACTCAAATTTTCAATAATTAATAACTTAACAATAAATTAGTCAATACATCATGCGATATTTTCTAATCATTCATTGCTGAACACCAGAAATGTCGTCAACTCATGTGCATTACAGAACATATTCATATTGGTTTTAAAATTTAAAATAAACCAGCATTGGTTTACGCAATATTGATATCTGAATTCGTATAACAGATTGCCAGTCTGCCAATATTTAGATTCTTTTAGCTTTAAGCTCAAATTGGCATATTACTATTACTTCCAAATAATAATAATAGTAAACTACCTGGTATTTATTATGACAGGTTCATCATTCTTGTAGTAAACTTTACTGGATGTTTTGTTTGGAACAAACATATGTGTTCCTCGTGTACGATAATTTTTTAAAATACATTATATTACTCGGTACAACTAGATGACAGTTTATTGATTTTTTAAAAGTAATAATTCTAATAAAGAAATAATAATTTTGATCAAATGATGAAGGCTAAGGGTTGTTGTCAATAAGATGACCATGAGTTTGTCTTTCGAAACTGACCAGCTCGGTTCTGAAAAATATTTTGTGTAAAGAAATTGCAAAAATTCTGAATTCATGTTTTCTATAGTCGGTCTGTTTATTGTCTGTCTAAGGATTTTACTAGCATAACTTGAATGTTGCTCTTTTTGACTGAAATCTAAATATAAATTGAATCGAGTACATATTTGTGCAGTCGTCTTTTGGTTAGAAAATTCTCAGTAATTTTATTAAAACTCTATAATATTTCTCGAACAGATCATCAATTTGTTCTTTTGCTATTATACTGAACTCTTTAAGTTTAGTGAACTCCAAGATATTTACCACAATTTATGATTTGCCGAACTAGGAAAAGTACCAACACGTGTTCCAAATTTAATACACTATTCCTTTATCTTTAAGGCGAAGAAGATCCAGTGTTGGCCAGAGCTAAGAGGCGATCTGCTCGTTCCGAACTGGCCGTGTCTTTTGCCAAAACTTCAGATATCAAACAAAAATTCGAAGGCCATCAGACAATGACCAAGGAAGAAAGGCGAGAGGAGCGCAAGCAGGAGATTCAGAGCATACGCTCCAGGCTTTTCATGGTGAGTTAATATATTTAGGACTTGTAGATCATAGGTTCCCAAACTTTTTGTATCATAGATCTCGTGCGATGGACTCGTTTTGGTATAGACCCCCGTACCTTATATTGATTTTTTGTCAATATCTAACTGTAGGGTGGTGAATATCCATATTAATGAAGGTGATAGACGTTACTACTGTATAATTGCGCAACCTGTGACTTGCGCAAGTATTCTGTAGCGAGTGTGGGATGTTTTTGCGCAACTTGACAGACTTGCACAATGGATATATGGATATATGAATATATGGATAGATGGATAGATGGATAGATCTATTGATCAATAGATGGGATAGATCTGTACGGTACAGAGATGGTTGGATGGAGATAGCTATCCATATAGATTTATAGATGGATGGATGGATGTATAAATGAAAAGATGAATATATGGATACGTGTACATGAGCACTTTTTGATTATTTTAATTGTGCTTTGATCATTCAAGTCGGAAAGTTGATTCGTTGGACGTGTGTGGCAGTACAGGTACCGTTTTTGTTTTACTTTGTAGCGAATACATAATTCAAATTTATGAAGTTATAAATATTTGAGAGTATTTGAATTAGCCCTCTGATCTCTTTAAATTCTCTTCTGATGCTGTGAATATATAAGTTAATAAGAAGGATATATTTTTCGGTTATGTCTTGACATTTCTTAGTTGACATGTCTGATTTGCATGCGCAAACACTTGAACACTTGAGTCGTCTGTGGTCACTGTGAAGATACGCCTGGTATAGTCTGTGGCCGGCTTATGAGAAAATGTTCTTAATGCAAAGTACGAATCTGGTTAATAAAAACATTCAAAACAACTATAAATTGCAAATATAAATTTTTGAATTGATTTCCCAAGTGTGTGCTTTAATTATTTCTGGTAATTAAAACCGGTCAGAAAACGTAGTGAATATTTATACAAAATTAATACAATTTAATACATAATTCTATACTAAATGATATATAATTTGAAAAACAAATTTTACGCAATAACCTTAGTTTAGTTTTTTTATGAAAGATAACACAAAATTTTAGCTAGGGACTAATCCTGGTATGAAGGTGTATGAGGAGCTTTGTAACGTGATAAATATACATATAAAATTAATAAAACCTGATAAATACATAAATAATATATTTAATTCTTAAAGAAATTTTAACATATAGATTTCAAAATTTGCTCATGCATCCAATTAAAAGTAATATTAAGTTATAGCCAAAAGGGTATTTTTCTTTTGATCTTTTTTACAATTTTGGTGATGCAGTTTTATTTTATAATCCAACACATCTTGATTTTTATTCTGATGTAATTATTATGGCAATAATAATTACATCAGAATAATAATATTAGCAATAATAATATTGCTTGATCAATCAATCGTTACAGTATATATTGCATTTGTTATTTTAAACAATATGTTATGGTTAAGATGTTTGTCTTTCATTTGTTTTTTGCACTATCAGCGGATGTGCAAAAACACAGTGTATATATTTATATCTGTATATATATATATATATTATTTTATTAGATTAGATAAAAACAACAATAAAATATTAGTCATTTCCAAAAAACTGTATATTTGGTAATAAATATTATTGATCACGATAAGAATATTATACTGTTCTTAATCATATCTTCAAATTTATATAAAAAGTCATTTCCAAATTTTATTTTTTTGTAATCACAAGTCGATTTGATAATAAATCCAGGGATGAGGTATCTAAGGAATAAATATATATTTTTTTTTATAAATTTTGAGCATAACTGCAACACTCCTAACTTTTATTGAACTTTATATAATACATAAATATGTGATGATCCTCAATTGGGCTATTTAAAATATAGTTATAAAAACAATATATTGTATATTGTTTTCAAAAAAATCGTTTAATAAATTATTATTAATTAATTTCAATCACTCTTTTCACAAAATAAATTTACTCTAATAATTATACTAAATTAATCATAATGTTATAAAGTTTACAGAAGTTAGCTCGACTGACACATTGCTAATTATTTTTATAAACATTTTTAACCACAAAAAACGTGTCACATACTTCTGAATCATTTTCATTAAATTAAATATTTTTCACATAATACTTACACGAAATTAAAAAGTATAATATTATTCAACAAAAGTAAATAAATTAATCACTCTACTTTTATATTATATTATATAATAATGAAAAAATATTTAATTATATTACTCAATATTTAGAGTAAGTTTTAAATTCATTTTTAATGTAATCAGTACTTTTTAAAATCAGTTATTTTCCACGAACAGACTATTCGCAATAATAATTTAGTTTTGATCAGAATACTGAAGCTTTGTAAAAAAAATTCTTATTCTTTGTCTGAACATGTTTTAAGGTAATAAAATATTTTTGTATTTTTTTTTAAATTGTAATATATAGAACTGAAGGATGAATGGATAAATGCATTTATGGATATATGGATAGATGGATAGATGGATAGATCTGTAGATCAATAGATGGATAGATTAATAGAAATATGGATTTATAGGTGGATAGAGATGGTTGGATGGAGATAACTATCCATATAGATTTATAGATGGATGGATGGATGTATGAATAAAAAGTTGATACATGGATACGTGGATGGATCTATAGATGGACACGTTGATGGATAGATAGATGAACAGATATGCTTCAAGGCCGAAACTTAATGACTTAATTTTATATCAATCTGCCTTAAATGAAATACGTTTCAGAAATTGGTCAAGTTGCAACCGAAATTTCCAAATTTTAGGTGAATTGATTATGTTAAATGAAGTTGGCTATCCATATAGATTTATAGATGGATAAATGGATGTGTAGATGAAGAAATGAATAAATGGATACGTTGGTGGATGTGTAGATGGACAGGTTGATGGATAGATAGATGAACAGATATGCTTCAAGGCCCAAACCCTATGTCTTAATTCTATATCAATTTGCCCTAAATAAATTAAGTTTCAGAACTTAATCAAGTTGCGACCGAAATCTCCAACACTTATTACAAACATTTGCTTAAATTAGTTTTTCTATTTCATAATATACTCAGACTTTTAATAGATCTTTGTATAAACTTTGTCACATTTTGCTAAATTTATTATATATAAAGTCTTTTGTAATGTTTCCAATAGGAGAAACGATTTTTTGTCTTTCATAGAATAGAATTTAGAGAATTATAACTCCAATTTGAAATTCTCAAAAACTAGGCAATAAGTAATTAATTGTCCGTGTAGTGTAGATTGTCTTTCGTGGTGTAGTATTTATATTAAGAGTAAGAAAACATTTCTTTTGGATTTTCTCCAATTTTGATCTTCTTCGATTTGTGGAATTGGACTATCATTAAGTAATAATTCTTAAGAAACATTATCGTGAATAGTTTTTGATTTTGGGTTTTTCATGTAATGATTTTGGGTTTTTAATGTAGCAGAAGTGCAACATGAAGTCATGACTGTGTCACCAAAATAACCATAGTTTTTTCTCGTCAAATCGTATTCCACTTTTCAAAAATATATCAAACCCATTCAAACATTCTACATTGTTTATTCAATTTACCATTAATGAATTGAAACTTATTTATTTTTCTGTGACTTAAAAAACGTTAGCCTAAAATGTTCGAATATTTTACAACACTATGGAAAGTCGATTTAAACAATACATACAACTACTCAAACGCAAATTTTTATTTTGTATTTTAATGCTGTCTTATTAACTTTTTTATACATCTTTACTTTACGTTTCAGAGGTTTCTGAACATTTTGGCATGCCTTAGAAAAAATTGATGTATGTGTGTTTGTATGTGTGTGCGTGTGTGTGCGGATACAAATTTTCGTCGACGATTTTGGGAACACGAGTCAACCATTTGAATAATTATAATAACATTCGATTCGTATTGATAAGGAGACGTGCTGATTAGTTGTTGGTAAAGGCAAGTCGAGCCGTTTTGAAGGTACGAGGCGAAAAGTGCCATAAATGGTAATTGATTTTTTGAGAGGACCGATTTGTATGATTCAAGAACATTTTATTTGTATTGACGAAATGAAGAACTGATTTTTGGAAAGGCAGGTCTAGCGGTTACGGAGATCCAAGTGAGAAAAAATGTCATTTGGCGGACAAAAATAATTATTAGACTTATGCACATGAAATTATCACATATTTTATAGATATTTTAATAATAATAACAGATTTTGTTCACTTTTTTATTGGGACCGTAAAAAAGGTCAATTTTTTCAAAAATTTTAAGAAATTTCTAAAATCGATTTTTTTTAGAAAAGAAGTTCTAAAAGAAAATTGAATCATTTTTAAAAGTTTTAATTTTTGGTACGAGAAGTTTCAGCAATTTGCCTTGAGGCATTAGTTTTTGGTAGAAATAAACGATACAAAAGTTTGGGGAAGACTGATGGCCGTTATTATTCCGTTTTCTTGAAAATTGACAACCACTGGCCGTTACATTTTATAATCATTCATCGTCTTCCCCTTCTTTCTTGTTCACCCATACCGCACAACACAACACAAACGTCCGCTATCGCGATCTCTTTTTAACAATCCCTTTGCCATATACCGCTATCTTCTCTCTCCTTCATGCGCGTGCGCCAGCTCTCAACCCACTTCCAGACACTTGTGTTGTATAGAATTGACAGCGGAGTCGACCGGCGGCGCGATTTTTATAAGTTTTTTATATTAAAAAATGAATATTTTATATTGAATTGTGATATATTGGACAATAAAATAGTTTAATAAGATAGAAGTGTAGATTTTCAAAACATTTTAGTGATAAATTTGTGTGTTTTTTACCCGCAGGGCAAACAAGCTAAAATCAAAGAGATGTACCAACAAGCTGTGGCTGAAAGTGAACAGGGTAAGTAGTTTTTGTTTATTTGTGGTTCAAATTGATTTATTTTGATTTGAATGTAAAAAATGGATGGGTGATTCGTGTTATGTGATTTTGTGTATGTTTTATTCATATATTATTAAGTTTGTTTGATATATGGTTGCGTTTGTACTTTGTTTACATCAGGGCGTTACTCTATAATTACATAAACTTAAAGAAAATTCTTAAGTTTCTTAACGAGAACATCTTTTCCAAATGATGTAACTGTACATTCAAAATATTACTTGTGGAAACGATTCAATTTTTTTTATAATTTCATAATTATGATTATTACATTCTCACAAACATTTGTTTTAAATGATATATTTTCAAACAATTAAAATTTTGCCTTATTTTTATCTAATGTCAATTATTTTCATTGTATCGTTCTGAAACTTTAACATGTAAATAATAAACCAATAGACTTGGTAAGACAAGAAATTTTATTTGTACACAATTAAAATAAATATATATTTAATCTCTGTCAGGCATCAAAATTTATAGTCTGTTCAACGAGCTCGTCAGACGAGTTCATATTTAAATTTCATTTTTAGAAAAAATTATATATTTTTAACTTTCCGTAGGGCAAGTTACAACAATCACAAAAAATCGAAAATGAAAATTTGTATATATCTTTACGTTTTGAAGGTTTCTGAACATTTTGGCATACCTTAGAAAAAATGGATGTATGTGTGTGTGTGTGCGGATACAAATTTTCATCGACGATTTCGGGAACACGGATCAATAGATTTGAATAATTCAAAAAACATTCGATTCGTATTGATAAAAAGACGTGCTGATTAGCTTTTGGCGAAGGCAGGTCTGGTCGTTCCGAAGATACGGGGCAAAAAGTGCCAACAACGGTAACTCAGTTTTTAAGAGAACGGAGTGTCCGATTTTAATAATTCAAAAAACATTTTCCTTGTATTGACAAGATGAAGAACTGGTTAAAAATTTGGGAAGGCAGGTCCAGCAGTTATGGACTCTCAATAAAAATAAGTTAAAAAATGACATTTGGCGGTCAAAAATGTTTATTGGACTTATGCACATCAAATTATCAGATAATTTATAGAGATTTTCATAATGTGTACACATTTTGTGTAAATTTTTTTGGGTTCCGTACCAAGATTTTTAATTACGGTATGGGAAGTTCCAGCAAAAGTTTACTTCCTGCATCAATTATACATACATAATATATACATAGTTAACTATTGCACAACTGATTAATATTTATTGTTTCAGTCTTAAATTTATTTATTTTGGAATAAATAAATTTTAAAATTTATGATTGATGATGCAAGTAAACAGATCAAACACTATTTCACTAACTTCATAAGTTGGACTCATAAATATTTATAATTTTTTTAATTCATTATAGCCCATTGTGTTAATGAAATGAATTTTCATAACATTTGTAAATTATTTTATCGTACATTTTTTGTTACTAAATACTAAATAAATTTCAAACATCTTCTTTACCTCTATATGGTACAATAGGTACTGTAGTTCGCTATGCAAATTAAATTATTTGTTTTATATTAGAATACCACTACTTTCATTTGTTAACACATTAACTTCCTGAAGGAAAAGTCTATGCTATGTCCAGAAAATCTATTTTTCCGGAGTTCTGTATCGTTTACACTAAAATTGTAAAAACTATGTGTGTAAGCGAACTCAAATTTGACCTTGCATTGAAATTTTCCCAAAAACAGCTGCACCGATTTAAAAAATTTAAAAGCTATTTGATGCAACTAAATATGCTTTCTCGTTGTTTATTTTTGCAATATAATCGAAAGAGCCGTTTCTTTTAAATTAGCAGATTAGTGCACAATTGTTCGTCTACTTTTTAACCAAAAATTATGAACTAATTTGGGAATCGTGCTGATTATTTTTTGCCAAAGTTTGTTCGGTCGTTCTAAACGAGCATTCTAAAATATTGTGGGCACACAAGTGGTTTAAATAAAGTTTTGAATAATCGTAATCATGAAATAAATAATTAAAAAAATATTCTTAAAAATATGAGATAAGGTCCTTCATTCTATCTCTGCTTGATTAAGTTATAATAATTCATTACGGTAGGGAAAGTTCCAGCAATTTCCGTACTTTCCGTATGGTATGTCGTAGTAATCGACCAAAAATCGAAAAAAAATTTTTGCATATCTTTACGTTTCGAAGGTTTATGAACATTTTGGCATACCTTATAATTAGAAAAAATGGATGTATATATGTGTGTGTAAGTGCGTGTAGTTTGTGTGTATGTATGAATATTATTTCGTCGACGTTTTCAGGATCACCAATCAAACGCTTTAAATGATTCAAAAAACATTCGGTTCCTACTGATGAGGAGACGATGGTGAGATTAGTTTATGGCAAAGATTGGTTAAGCCGTTTTGGAGGTACGGAGCGAAGAGTGCAGAAAATGGGAATTAAGTTTTTGAGAGAATAGACCACCCGATTTGAATGATTTAAAAAACATTTTGCTTGTGAAAAAAACGATTAGTTTTTGAAGCAGGCAAAAAAATATCTTAATTTCCATTTTTTTAAATATTGAAAACGATTCTGATTTTAATTTTGATTCTAGCTAAAATTGTAAAGCTTACTTAAATACTTGAAAAAAATAATTCTAACTTTTCAGTTTAGTTTATATAATTCTTAGTGTAAGATCTTTCATTCTTGTCGCTTGATCAAGTTTTGTTTTTTTTTTACTTTTCTTATAAACATATACAAATGTATATGTTATGTATATGTGTATATGTCGTCCATTTTATAAGCTCCTCTATTTTGTCTATAAAATACAAATGATGAAAAATACAATATTTGTATAATCTAGTATTTATAAACATCACGTAGGGTAAGTTATAGTAATCGCAAAAAAATCGAAAATGAAATTTTTTGCATACCTTTACGTTTCAAAGGTTTCTGAACATGTGTGTGTGTATGTATGTTTGGATACAATATTTCGTCTACGATTTCGGGCGCACGAATCAACCGATTTGAATGATTAAAAAAACATTCGATACAGAGGAAAAAGTAAAAAAAAATATTTGGCGGTCAAAAATGATCATTAAACATATGCACATCAAATTATCAGATATTTGATAAAAATTTTAAAAATGAATACTAATTTTTTTACAATTTTGTTGGGTTCCGTACCAAGATTGTTAATTTTTAAAGTTTACTTATACGGATCAAGCAAATTTCAAAATTTTCAGAAAAAAAAATTGTTTCAAAATTTTCAAAAATATACAAAATATTATACTTCAAATATGAATTTTAAATTTACAATTCAATTTGAAAATTTGTATAGTTCAAATGCGTTATTTTAATCGTATTTGTCTAATCTAATTTTATTGATAACTGATTTTTTCCTCGAATATATAATTTTATTACAAGGTTTATGATTCAAATATAGATTTTAAATTTAAATTTACAATTCAGTTTGAAAATTTGTATAGTTCAAATGCGTTATTCTAATCGTAAGAAATATTTTCTCAGATGGATTTATTCGGCACCTCTTGCTAATGTAAACTTTCTCAAGTGTTTTGAGCGATAAAATCGTCACTGTATATTTTATGGACGATGAAATATATAGTGATTATAATTATCTATTTGAAAATGTTTAAAACAATTGTTATTAATCATTAATCAATATTAATTGATTACTGATTTTTGCCCTTCGAGTATTTAATTCTGGTTAATTTGCCCTAAGGCACGATGCCACGCACCACTAGTTTTATTTTTAATGCAGTGAGAAGAATAGAGATAATAATGGATAATAATAGTCATTGATAGTAGTATGATACGTTTAAATTTTATATTTAATAATTGATATTTCGTTTATAAATTAATGGTTTACTTTGCATTAGCATATTTAATTTCTCTCTATTATTACTATAAGGCAGTACAAGTTCTTACAGAAGCGATCGTTCGGAATAATTTATTTAAATATTTCCTTCACCCTCGACGTAAGCCAAATGTAAACACGGCGAGCAAACATATGAAAAGGAAGGGCGTAGGCCAGAAACCTGATTCCATGGCATGTGATTATTTGAAAGCTAAACATTTATGAAAAATAAACTCAGAAAACAATATAAAATGCAATGCATGTGTAATGCGGTTCATTGAAATATAGAGACGTAGCAGGGGCGTAACTAATATAATGGAGATTTTAATAGAACAAATAGAGAAATTTGATATAGAAAAGGAATATTATTCAGGTGTAACGGTAGATTTATTTAGCAGTGTTAGGGGATTGTGTCTTAAAGCACAGTTTTGATTAAAACAGAAAAACAAAGTAAAAAAAATAAAGAAGTTTCGTAATCACTTCAAATGGAGAACAGGATATAAATAAGGAATTTTAGTGAGAATCATTTAAAATAGAAATAAGATTAGAGAATTTTTCGAACTCTTAAAGGTATAATTATTTTTATGATAAATCTAAAATCCCTAAAAATGTTTTTTATTGATATTAAAAAAATAGGTAAATAGTCTTTTTTTAAATTTCCGATATATGAAATTTGATAATTAAAGCACACTTTTGCAATAATATTGATATTCTACCAACATATTGAATATTTCGATTTTTTAGACTTTTTGAAATGTCTCTAAAATCTTATAAAAACATTTTTTTATTGATTTTTTATTGTTTCATATCATTTAATTTATTTCAAACGAACGACGAATTTTAACTTGAAAAATATACATTTTTGATATTGCTTGTAGCAATAATAATAACCATAATGAGTGTCATTGGGGCACAACTAGTGTGAAATTTTTAAAAAATCGAATTTTCAATTTTTCCATATTTCGATAGGTTATACATTTAAAAATAACATACCAAAATTTTAAATCCATATCTTAAATAAATAGTTTTTGAGTTACAGCCATTTAAAGAGTATATATATAGTATTAACGATCATTTTATCTTCAAACGCATTTTTCTCGAAACAGCATTTTCCGAATTTGCTGCAGCAATTACTCAAAAATCG